TATCAGGAGGCCTTCTGACTGACATTTGGGGGCCCAGCCATGCGGGCCTGGGTCCTTTATATGACCTACAGCCACGCCTTCGTGCCCTCCAATCGGGCACTTGATCGTCGGTCCCGAGGGGCCATTCGGGCCAGTTCGTGGGCCCCTCGAACGTTGCACTAGATCGACTGTGGGCTGCTTGCCAATACAAGACACTTGCAAAGTGCTGTGGTCCCTAAACCGCAACAGGGGCCCCCTCATGGACTCAGGGGTCCGCACCGATTTGTATCGTGAGCCTCGGCCATGTCCCTAATTGTTGTTGTTGTTTATTGTTATCATGGAACGCGTCGACTACAGTGGTCGTTTTGCGTGCTGAAATGGGCCCCAAACCTTCGATCTGACGCTGAAGTAATCTCGTGGCGAGTCTGTGACGCGACACGGCCGATAATCTTCCGCCACTGGGATGTAGTTTCGCAAAATGGGCTTGGGGGTTGAGTGGGACAAGGTAGCCCCAAATAAGCTCTAAAAAACCCGCGTTGAATTTAACTTCCAGATTTGACCCATTTTCTTCTCAACGTAATGAAGCTGGATTCCCAGCCAACTAAATATGAAACAACAGCCATGCTCTAATACGTTTCCTTCATGCGTCTCGGCGGAAGATGCTGTCGTTAGACATTATTATCAGTTAGCTCGGCGTCGATCTTTGAAATCAGGTTCCGGTGATCGACTCAGGATTGACGTTATCTGGCTTCAGACGTTCTGGGACGTGTACGGCTTCGCGAGTAAAGTGTGAAAGTTTAAATGCGAGACGGAAAGCTGCCACGGCCCCTCCCCGCCCCCCCCCCCCCCCCCCCGGCTGGTGGTCGCAACGCGTGGTGCAGGCTGCAACACAACGCTCCGTTAGGCATGTTCGACACGGAAAGTGCTGTTTTAGTGATCACTGTCGGACGACGAATAGCTTGGCCACGTTTTTGGTGCCAATATTTGACGATTTGTTTCCATTTTGCGATACGATGCCGACGCAAAGTAACACAACTTGCTGCAATCCGTAGAACTCAAAACATCCCTGAATAATGCCAGAGCACTCACACAATAGCAAAAAACTAGACCAGTCAGAAATACAATCATTGTGCAGTGAAAAGCTTGCATCACGCATTTAAAAAAGTAAACACCACGAACATGACAAAAACAAAACATGATGTGACATGACAAAAACGTGACTAGCTGAATCAGCTGTACTCAGCTGAACATGCCATTGCAGTTTTAGTTTGCTTTGTTCCTTTTTACCTCTGAAACAATTACTAAAAAAACTTCTTTAGAGATGATGTCATGTTGATCTCCCATTTTGGATGTCATGCTAGTTCTTAGGCGCCAGAAGGCTGGAAGAGTCAATCTCACCGTTGGGGGGGGGGGGGGATTAGACATTTGGGCAAGGTAGAATAGCCCACTCAAAAACGAAAAATCGACACCCGTGTACAACATTTGTAGTGGAAACATCACACGACACAGTAAACAAGCATGCTAACGTCACTGCCGCCGCCATGGTAGCGTCTGCTTGCGGTGCAGCGGCCCGTGAGTCGGAGACCTCAGCGGCCTCACGGGCGGCGCCTGCGGACACCGAGCTCGTGCCAACCAGCTGGAATGCTTTCCGACCGCCGTTCTCCCTTATGCGCGCAGCATTATACAACGCCGACACCTGGACAAGTTCTGTGGCGCTCCATACACCACGGCATCGGCGACATCACGTGGCCACAACTGCGCGGTACAGAAATCCGCGGAAGAACACATGATGTCGCTCACCGTTATTTCCCACTTGACCTTTCGGGAAGGAGTAGAAATGTTCAGCGGGCAGTCCGGCGGGCCTCGTCCGGAAACGCCATCTCCCTACAGGGCGGCCTCGAGCGGATAATCTCCCGTGCGCCGGTTATCATCTCCGGTATCCTGTTTATCATCTCGAACTGCAGATAGCGTCCCGCCTAGCCACCCGAGCCATCATACAGAGTCTGGCCGTGTAAATGCCAGCGGCGGGTCAGGGCGCTCACGTGTGGCAACGTGACCCCAAGCAGGCCGGCTCAGTGTCCTCGGGACAATCTCCGGCCCAACGCACGTGACTCGAGCCACAGGCCTGTCCATGTGGTGTACGGAACCGAGCTATCTGAGAATAAACTATCAGTACGGGATAATTAAAGGGTGTGTCAGATGTTATACCTTACCGTCCGAATGAATAGCTGACAATGACACGCAAAGCTATGTCACTGTAGGCCCCACAAGCTTGCAGCCGGCATGAACGCCCCGCGACATTGTAAACTGATTGGCATTGGGTCGATGCAAGACAAGGAGTCCTTCTAATCCCCAAAAGAGCGTTTAGATGAAAAATCGTTAAAAGTGAAATTGTGCCACCTTGCTCTTCGCGTTCCGCCGTAATGGTATATTCTCAGACACCGTCATGGCGACAGGCCTACGGCGCCCGCCGCTCCCCACTCATAGTGTATGACGATGGGGACAAAATTGCGCGCCATTACTGCAGAAGTAATACAAAAAAAAAGGTGAAAGGAAAGATATCGACTTCATCGTGGCGCATCCTTCGACATTTTACGCATCTGACTAAAACACTTCCGACGAACTCAAAAAGGATTCAAAAATGGCTGTTATGATGCTTTAGACTCATCGCACGTAGGGGGGGGGGGGGGATAGCGCGATAATCATCATCACGTCGAGATACGAAATAAGACCGGATGGCAATCAGGTGTACACACGTAATACAGTTAACAACTGCTGAGCATGACGACCGCCGTTTGCTGCATTCGACAGATGCCAGATAAGCGGCTGGTACAATAATGCCTCATATGGCATGTCATGCGATGGTCTCAGTATTCTCAGTACAGTACCCACGCCTTGGTGAGACTTCTGCAAACTGGGATGCAGCTCCACCCTAAGCATTGTGAAGCATTCACATCACGTTTAAAACAATGTCTAGCCGGAATAGGCACATCACGCGCAGAAGCCCTAACCCCTGTGCACAACACGTGGCTGCTGCGTTCCCACGCACGTGCGTAAGCCTCAAACTCATGCGTGCAAGCCTTCAGACTGCCGCACGTGCTTGGTCGCGTGAGACAGGCACCGACGAGAAAGGCTAGCTGCCTGAACCCCGAGGGGCGGATACAGGGCGACTCAGGTCTCATCAACTGCTCCCGGCGCGCTTCATTTCATCCCACGCAGGAGCTGCCCTCACACGTATGTCACGTGAAGCGTCACGTCTTACTTATGGCTTATGGTGTTGAAACGTCCAATAACTGAAAGCTAACGTGGGAGACTGTGCTACGAAGCCGGGACCGATAGATGTGTGGCACGTGCGCCGTCCCCGCGCCGCACGCGTGTCGGACCGGGATGACCAAGGTACCGTTTGAAGTGTGCTAAAGACCAGAAACTGTAGATAATTGTTATCAATTTGACCACTTTCATTTACATCCAAAATGTAATCATCGATACGCATGATGATTTCCAAACCGAGGATATGCGTTCAGAACCGGAATTTAAAAGGGTCGTACACGTTTCGGCTGCTGCTGCTTTGTTCTTCCACCCAGGGCCGGGCAGGTCGATACAACGCTTTGGGTTCCGAATCCTTTGCGTGTCGGAAGCAGCGAGCTAGCCGACTGAAATTCGGTCAGCGTCACGAAGATTATCAAAATGCACCCCATTTAGGGCGCTGAATTGTCAAAATGCTGGTGTAGTACACATATTCGACTTTGCCTCCATTTCCTAGTGATCCAATGGCGGCTCGGGTGGTGTAGTGTAGTGCGGGGGCGGGATTGGATATTGACGGAAAGCTTCCAAATCGGCTTCGGTCGAACCCAGCCGGCAGGGGCTGCGTCTTGCGCATGGTGTTTAAACACAGATTGGCACCCAGCTGGCATTGCCGCCAACATACAACTGCTGCACCGATAAAGTTTAGTGGAAAAACATAAAGCACACGCCAGCCGACGAGCAGTTATATTGCGATCCGAAAGCTTCAGTGGCCGCTGCATGAAACGCTCTCTCTCTCTCTCTCTCCCCCTCTCCCCCCCCTCCCTCTCTCCCCCCCCCCCCCCCTCTCCCCCCTCCCCCTCCCTCTCCCTCTCCCCCTCCCCCCTCCCCTCTCTCTCTCTCTCTCTCTCTTCTCTCTCTCTCTCTCTCTCTCTCTCTCTCTCTCTCTCTCTCTCTCTCTCTCTCTCTCTCTCTCTCCTCTCTCTCTCTCTCTCTCTCTCCCTCTCTTCTCTCTCTCTCTCTCTCTCTAGATTCGCTCTCTCGTCCTGAGTTGCACGGCTCTCTCTTCGGGCCTGCGTATTGGCAGCCTTATGTAACACACACATCAAAAGAAGTGCATATCAATTTCCAATTTCCTCCATGCTGATATGCAGGCGCGACGCACGTGGTCGTTTTTTAGTCGCCGGTCGGAGGCTGGCGGCAGCACGGTAATAAAATTCATCGTGACCAAAACCAATGTGCATCGCACTGGTTTTCCACCAGTCTATCGTGGAGCCAGGATGCTCTACAAATGCAAGCTAATGCATTAAAATGCCACTGCAGGAAGACGCTGCCGATTCCAAGAGGTGCGTGGCACGTGCACATGTGCGGCGTCCTGCACGTCACGCGCGTGCCTGACTGGGCAAGGACACGTGCCATCCGAGCCGCGCTCACGGCAGGAGGCTGGCGAAAGGTGAACGCTGTTCAGCCATCTGCATGACGTAGCTCCCGATAATTACTGCCAATCTCCGGAAGCGAAGGAGGGTGGTTGTGCACGTGACAGCGCCGCCCCCGTAAGCGCATCACTGGCTGCACATAAGGGATGGCTGTGTTTCTGAGGCGTACATCAGCGGTCGCCAAGCAGTGGGCTGGTTGCGGCCCAGTACCCAAGGCATATCGTGCCAGGGACACTGGCGTCGCGCCGTCAAGAACGGCGTATTCGCCAACAAAGAAATGCGTAACATTGGGTATCTTCGGGAACTGGCGCGAGTGTATCCACCAAAGCAAAGCGGACTAACCTGCCAGCTGCTTGGCTGAGAATGATCGGGTAGCGCTTGAGGTACTCTGAAACAGAACGAAGCAATATGGCGTCAACCACCGGACCAGCGCGGCCACAGCAGAAGTGTCGAGGACTCCTTTACAGCGACATACTTCAATGATTCACGTAAGCATCAACTAAAACATTAAGTAGCGCACTTCTCCCAAAGGATGTCACCGCAGTGCTCTATACCACACAATGACGCACGATATAAAAGCTCTGGAATAATTAATTAGTTCATTAGTGATGTCACTACGAACATGGACGCTTGACCGACTGCAATGTCTAAAGAACCGCATTGCACTCGGAACCTGAATTCAATCGATTTGGTAGCAAATACACAGTATTTAATAAATACACAAGATATAACAAATACAGAAGTTGAATAGGTCACTTAAATTAGGAACTTTGTTTTTGGTACCATCAAAAAGGGGTCTTATTCCACATGGTGCACTGCAAGGGAGCATGCCATTTCGTGTCGCAAACAGTGCTAGGAGCAACCTAGCTTTCTCAGAAAACAAGAATAGACCTCTTGTGTCATGCTACGCACGGCGTTATAAAAATATTTGAGATATCAGAGGTAGAGCCATGGTCCACGCTTGCACCAAGGAACCAAATATGTTGTTCTTCTTCACATATTAACTGCCATACCTTGCGCTTTAATGAAATGCTTTAAAAATGGCGTTACCCCGGTTTTGAAAATCAATGGTAGTTTTAAGCCTTTGACAAGAGACCATGACAATTTTACATAGGTAGTTCCGCTGACACGAATAAGCGCCGTCAAAACCAGGCATCGCATGTGAGATGCCAGAGGACCCCAGATGCGCCATACCTCTCGACGTGCTAGATAACGTGTAATACAAATGCAGAATTCCGTAAAACCAGGACAACTAGCAATTGACCTAACGCAAATGAAAATAGTCACAACGAAACCTGAGGCGAGAGGCCCGACTTCAATGCGCCCTCGACGACCTTGTGGGCCCGCAAAATGCGACCCTTACGTCCCTTTGACCGCATCGCGCATACAGACATTATAGCATTTGATAAGTTTTTACACGTCCGCCGAGGAAAAGTACAAGGGATTTGCGACCAGCCGCCGCGTCCACAGTAAAGCGACCCTTGGGTTGGCAAACAGTGTATTGCCTTGGTGCGCACACGTGAATGGAAATTGGCGTACAGACTTGACTTAGTTGGCACCTGCTACTTTGAAACGGTTATTTTTCATCCCTTGGGTAGATGAATTGCAACCAGACAGTGGAAAAACCCACGCCCACAGCTTAAAATGAGTTGAAAAAAGAACAAGGGCCTGTGTGACCAATAATCCAGTGGTCAATTACAAGCTATGATCAGAGCGCACCAAAACACCAAAGCATGGCACAGATGCATGGGATGTTACATAGTTAATATAATGCACAACACAAACCACATACGCAATTTCGAAAAAACATCCCCACACTTTTTCAAATGACACGCATATCTGTGATCACCGAGTGCTGCGCTTTCGGACGGCGTGCTTCCCGTTCACCTGAAGATGCGGACCATTTTCAGCGGGCCGCGCAGCCTCTGCAACCGTCTACGGAAGTGACGGCTACTCCGGCCGGCATGAAAAATACCCGGGGGGCATGGCGCGACAAGAATTGAAACCGGTGCCTACCGCGTGAGGGGCTGCGGACGTAGCGGCCGGCCGTCGGCCTCCCGTGTGAGGACTACGGGCGTCAGCGGCCGGCCGTCGGCCCCCCGTGTGGGACTACGGACGTCAGCGCCCGGCCATCGGCCCCCCGCGTGAGGACTACGGACGTCAGCGGCCGGCCGTCGGCCTCCCGTGTGAGGACTACGGACGTCAGCGGCCGGCCGGCGGCCCCCCCCCCCGCGTGAGGACTACGGACGTCAGCGGCCGGCCGTTGGCCTCCCGAGTGAGGACTGCGGACGTCAGCGCCCGGCCGTCGGCCTCCCGCGTGAGGACTGCGGACGTCAGCGGCCGGCCGTCGGCCCTCCCGCGTGAGGACTACGGACGTCAGCGCCGGCCGTCGGCCTCCCGCGTGAGGACTGCGGACGTCAGCGCCCGGCCGTGGCCTCCGCGTGAGGACTACGGACGTCAGCGCCCGGCCGTCGGCCTCCCGCGTGAGGACTGCGGACGTCAGCGCCTGGCCGTCGGCCTCCCGCATGAGGACTGCGGACGTCAGCGGCCGTTCGTCGCGTTCCCGTGGTGACAGTGCTGCGATTTCATGGGGGGGGGGGGGGGTTGCAACGCTCAAACTTGCTGCTTATGGTAAGTTTCACGTAGTCGTTAAGAACGCCCCAATGGTGAATCAACAAAGAGTGTATCAGCCTTCCCGTCCACTAGTGGCATTAGCCCAAATAGACATCAAAATTTTGATTGTAACGGCAGAACAAGCCAAACTACAGAAGAACAGGAGCGGTAAAACCACAGCCACCAGCACTCCACATGCTGAATTGGTGCTACCATGGTCTGGTCACATGAAAAAGGTACTAACGAAAGTTTCGTTAGAATTTTGGTTCCCAATCGGTGGCCACACTTTTTTGTTCCACCCCTATGCCATTCATATACCGAAAAGTGGCGTAATTATTGAGAATAGGAAATTTTGAAACCAAAACCGGTCTGATCAAACAACCATATCCAATTTAAGTTACTTGCTCCAGCCAGAGGAGCCATACCTCGAGCCCATGAGCACGACACCCGACGAAATTAGAAAATAATGAACTAAAAGCAATACCAAAAATTACAAATGGTAAAATGACAAGAGACTAACGCATCTTTAATGCATGGAACGCAAACATGTGCCACTATTAAGCATCGAGCATAACAACCCGTCTACAACGGTTTGTGCCAGAGCCAGCAGCTCCGGAGCTGGAGCCAGCAGCTCCGGAGCTGAAGCCAGCAACCCTGC